ATTCAAGTGTGGCACTAAGGTCACCAGCTTTCCTTTGGGTATTATCAGGCTCAGAAGCCTAAATTGATTTAACAAATCCACAAACGCTACAGAAGAGGCTGTCATTAAAAGGGTAATTCACTGCTGATCCTTCTTCCCGACATGCTGGTTCCCAGTGCTTCTGGTGGGGTCTGCTATGAGCTAAACCATACCACATGAGCTACCTTGTTTTCAGCTGCTATACTGAATTAAAGGGGCCTAAAAATATATTGGATAATTGGATTGAAGCCAAAGAACATGCCCCAACTAATACAAAGGCAGCTGCGCTTGAAAATATCAAGTAAAGCACTAAGCCTATCTCCCACTGTTTCAAGCTTTCATGAGCAAGAAAGCAAACACCAAAGAAACACTACTTCCTTTGCAGGACAACAGCTCACTGGGAAAGTCAGAATCCAGCTTTAGTGCATGATGGGTGACTGGTAAGTAAAGATGACAAAGTTTTCATACAATGTTTGAACTACAGAAGTCACTCCTGTGAGAAAGACATTGCCATGAAACTGTACTCTTTTTGATACAAAACTCATCTCTTCTCGGCACTGGTCCCAAAACACAATATGGACCCTTGAGAAACACTGATCCCCATCCAGACAACCTAATCTGTTCCTCCACTATTAGTAACCTATTATGTTCCTCCTTCACAGAAGTTGTTGGATATGCATGCACTGGTTTATCAAACCTGGTTGTTGCAGTTTTTATTTGATATGGTATTTTGATCATCGTATGCTACTTCTTGATTACAGACAGAACCCACTTGGAGATCAGTGTGCAACAGGCTGTTCTTGCCTGAGAATATTAATGTATTTCTCCATCAGTGTTCATACTGCTATTTGTTCCTTGCTGGACATTTTCCTATGCTTCACAAAAGGCATCTGACTCTGTAATGAGGCGGTTTTATCAGAACAAATGCAAATTACTATTTTCCACATATTTTTGATTCTCATCTTAGTGTCAAATGCTGCTTCTCTGTTGCCTCTCTTTGTAAGACTTCATTTAGACCTTGTAAGTGAGGCTTCACAGTATTCATTCTGAGTAAAGCTTGCATTCACTGTCTAGATTGTTGGAAGATGTTGGATTTCAGCACGGCCCTTACGTTGAGCAAATTCAGATTCCTGCAGAAGACAGATGTTTGGAATTCTTGAACAACTGTGTCCTGCCTAATAATACACTGAAGAATCAAGTTGGAAATGAAGGCACTGTCTGCATGAGATCCCGCTACCGCCGCTTCATTCCAAGAAAATGAAACAGAGAAAATACAGAAGAAGAAAGCAAAATGCATTTATCATCTAAAGCAACTTTGGCTCTGTTCATGAATCACATCTTAAGGTATTTCTTTTTACAGAAATTGGGCATACTTAATAGAAATGAAAACCTAGAACAGCAATTGGATTCATCGGGAATAGGCCCTTCCAGCCCAAGAATTGAGATGATAAAACAACTCCTTCAAGCCTCGGTTTATATTAGCACAAGAGAACTACTTCTGATTTTACCAGGCTAACGATAAAATTAGATATCGCCAACTAGTTCACCTATGCAGTTCTGCTGAATCTGGCATGCTTTACCAGAACAGAATGGTTACAAGGAATTCTTACCAATCTCACACAGAGAAGTTTAGCAGAGATACAGAACCACCAGCATGGAATCTAGGAAGTAATTGTTTATTTAAGGCATCCTGGACAGACAGTATTGAAGTCTCCTATAGAATTCAGGTTAAACCCTGTGCAACCGGTTATCTTTTTTGTATTACACAAAAACAGTTCTCAGGATACTGGCATGTAACTGTTCAGTATGGAGTTCTTCTGAGCACCCATCCTTCAGAAGCCTGTGAGATCTTTGAACATGAAGGTTTGTTTTCATGGTGGTTACAATGGGATTTGTTTCAGCATAACTTACATTCCATCTCACGACAGTATACATTTTTAGTGTGATGTGTATTCCTCTTAGGGCGTTTAGTCAAGAAAAACAACTTTTTTTTTTTTTTAAATATTGTTATCTTTAAGTCCAAAATGAATACAAACCCATATATTTTCACTCAAATTGTAAACTTGTGAAAGAATTGGTCTAAGCACATTTTCACATTTATCTGGGCTAAGAGTAGCCCGTTATCAGCCAGTATTTCACAGCTGTGCAACATAGTTCCATACCACAACCCATTTCTGTATGGTTCTTGTGATCTAGTATACACAATTAAACCTTTTCAAAAAAACAGCCAGAAGTTTTAAAAACCGTGGACATACAATTTTTGCTGGTGTTGCTGAATAACTAGTTGGTCATCAACTAGTTAGTTGGCAGCTTCAAGTTTATTCATATATCCACAATACCGAGCTACAAAAAACTGAGACACCTGCAAGCAAATGCTCCAAGCATTTATATTGGTACACCAAGTTTCAGTGTAAAACGTCAGGAATATGATTGCTATTTTGTCAAAAAAAATCAGGTGTTCTTTTTGGTTTGAGGTTGGGTTTTTTTCTTCTTCTCTGTTGATGAAAATACTCATTTCAGCTTTCAAGGTACAGCACATTCACTATAAAGTTGGATTCCAAACTGAGGAGTTCAAATGGTTTTGGTCACTACCATGGAAATGTGACTAGACAGGCACAAGAAATTTCTTGGGTACTTTTTCTTTTCTCTAAGCACAGCACTGGTGACAGTTTTTCTAAATTTAGATTATGTACCTGGAACTAGAACTTTTGTCTTTTCAAATCAGATCTCCCTCCACATTCTCCTTGGCATCCCTGCACAAAGATTAACCTACCTCCTCTTGCTGAAGAATACTCTTCAAAGCAGTACTCTCTGAAGACAAATAATCTAATTCTGTAGAAATAGTTTGATTTATTCTAAAAATTGGCACATCAGTGAAAGATTCCTCTGAAAAGATTGTGTTCTTAAGAAACATAACATCCCTAAAATGTCAAAGTTCTCAGTTCTGAAGTGTATGCCACTGAGAACTGCTCGCCATCATGTGCAAAAAAAGATGCAACAAGCAGGAAGCATCAGATTTCAGCAAACACTAATAAATAGTCCCAGTGCTTCTGATATTATAGAACCATAGTGTCACTTAGGTTGGAAAAGACCTTTAAGACCAAGTCCAACCATTAACCTAATACTGCCAAGCCCACCACTAAACCAGCTCCCAAAGCACCCCGTCTACCTGTCTTTTAAATACCTCCAGGGTATTTAAACCACTTCCCTGGGCAGTCCATTCCAATGCTTGAAAACCCTTTCAGTGGAGAGATTCTTCCTAATGTCCAATCTAAACCTCTCCTGGCACAACTTGAGACTGTTTTGTCTTCATCCTTTCATTTGTCACTTGGGAAAAGAGACCTACCCCCACCTTGCTCCAGCCTCCTGTCAGGCAGTTATAGAGGGCAATAAGGTGTCCCCTCAGCCTCCTCTTCTTCAGGCTAAACAACCCCAGTTCCCTCAGCCGCTCCTCATGAGACTCATGCTCCAGACCCCTCACCAGTTTTGTTGCTCTCCTCTGGACATGCTCCAGTGCCTCAATGTCTTTCTTGTAATGAGGGGCCCAAAACTGAACACACTATTTGAGGTGCAGCCTCCCCAGTGCTGAGTACAAGGGGATGATCACTGCCCTAGGCCTGCTGGCCATACTATTGCTGATAAAAGGCAGGATGCTGTTGGCATTCTTGGCCACCTGGGCACACTGCCAGTTGCTATTCAGGATATTCATATCCTGGTCTGTTTCCTCTCCACTGCACTGTATTTCCAGCAGACATCTGGCAAGTTGAAGTCGCCCATGAGAACAAGGGCTAGCGATTGTGAGACTTCTCCCAGCTGCTTATAGAATGTTTTGTCTGCCTCTTCATGCTGGTTGAGCAGTCTATAACAGGCTCCCACCACGTTGGTTGCCTTGTTGGCCTTCCCAGATTCTTACCAATAAATACTCAACTTTGTCATCACCATTGTCAAGCTCTAGACAGTCAAAACACACCCCAACGTACAGGACTACCCCACCGCCTCTCCTTCCTTGCCTGTCCCTTCTGACAAGTTTATAGCCATCCATTGCAGCACTCCAGTTGTGTGAGTCATTGCACCATGTTTCTGTGATGGCAACTGTATGGCAAGTTTTCCTGCTGCACAACGGATTCCAGCTCCTCCTGCCCATTGCCTATGCTGTGTGCATTGGTGTAGATGCACTTCAGTTGAGCTATTGATCCTATATGCCATCTTTTTGGGGGGAGAAGCCCTAATTCCTACATGACCATTCTCAGGTGCCTCCATGGTTTCTAACACATCCATAACCCTCACTCCTTTGCTGTTGCATGGATCTCCATCCCCTGCCTCCACTGAGACAACAGACTGAAGGACCTTGCTAGCACCATTCCCCAAACATTGGTGTGCTGCCCCTGGGCTTATCCCTAGTGAGCCTAGTTTTATACCTTTCCCTCTTCAAATATAGTTTAAAGCTCTTTCCATGAGCCTGGCTAACTCCTGTGCAAAGACCCTTTTCCCCCTTCGAGACAGGTGTACCCTGTCTGTCACCAGCAGGCCTCTTGTCGTGTAAACTGACCCATGATCAAAAAAACCCTAAAATTCTGCTAGAGACACGAGGCTTCTTCCCCAATAGCACCAGAGGCAATTGCTACAAACTAGTGCTGGCATTTATTAACAGAAGGCATAATAGGGCTGAACTCATGAGAAACAAGGTAAATGTACTGTCCAGTAGTCTTTTTTAAAAGTTTGGCTTTGAAAAGAAAAAAAATGCATATGCTTGGATAAAAGTGCAGGCGGAGAGGTCTAGTCCCAGTCAAACTGGAAAGAACTACAACCCACATGTAAATCACCTGTGTAACATGAAAAACAGCGATGTATCAAATACTTGCAAATGAAGTGTCAAAGTAAGCCAACAACAAAAATATTGAAATGTTTCTACTTGCCAACTGCAAAGATTTTTAAAAGTGCCAGATAATTCACTCTTATTTTAAAAAATAGAAAAATATGAAAAATATTTACTTAAGTAAATCAAGAAAATCTAGACCAGTGCAATGTGAATTACAACAGTAATTCAGTTATTTTTATAGTTAAAGGCATTAGCTTGGTACATTTTCAAGGTTTTAGAGTGCAATGTGATTAAGCCTTACTCAGGTGATGGCTTTCTTATTTGGGACACACTGCTGTAAACACTTGGCAGTACAAATCCATGCTATCCAAATGAAACTTAAGAATTCCGGGGGGCAGGGTAGAAAGAGGCAAAACAGGTGGCAGAAAAAATATCAAAGCTGATTGTCACACTTCAAAACTATCTTTTTAGCATATAAGCATTTAAAGTTATCATAAATACAAAATTTAGTAAACTTAAAGCCACTATAAAAATCTGTAGTTTTTAACTTACAAATCCAACATGTACATTTAGACATCTGAAAGTAGCTTACAAAACACATTCCGAAGGCGAACAACACCACAGTAGTATACAGCCCTGCTCTCTCCTGACATACATTTCTTTAAACAAATTTCTCAGCCAGCCTAATCTGAAATACAAACATCTTCAAAGGTTATGGCCAGCGAGGATTTTAAGCCACTTATTCTGTTTTCTTTGCCTGTCTTTTCTTAGCACCATCACGGTGCTGTTCAGAAGAAGACCGGTCACAGACTGAAGAGCCATTGGAAGATGCAGCACCTTCACCCTTCACTTTGGATGGTGTCTTTTGCAAGCCAAAGAACATATGGCCTAATGCAGCCTCAAAGGGAGCAAATGGAGAAGTCGCAGATCTCGTCAACATCATTGTTACCTATGAAGAACAAGGATCAAGTTACAATAAAAGTTTTAATGACTTCACAGCAATTGAAAACACGTTCCAAGCTGAATGGATGTGTGGCATTTCTAACTTTCTACATAAGCATGAGGCCATGCCACCAAGAACATACGTTCATTTTAGCTTGAATTGATCAAAGAATGCTTTTCTTTCTGACCTACACTCTTCACACTGCTATACAGAAAAAATGGGCACAAAAAACTTCCTCTGTAAGTTTACTAAAATCATCCTAAGAATAAACCACACGTAATGTCATACAACTGAGGTGAAGAACAACTTTTATGTGTAAGTTTTGTACCTTGTTCAACTGAAAAACTGTAAACAGAGTGGCTATTTCCATTTAAATTGAAAGAACACAATGTGTAAGCACCTAAATATGTATGCACAGACAGACTTCAGTTAGAATTCCAGCCAGCCATTCTCATTCCATAAAGTTGTGAGATTTCCTTAGAATGCATAACTAATGCATAACGTGGAATAAGGATAGAAAAAACTGTTTTGTAGATCCAGATACTGGACAAGTTTATATTGCAAGTAGTTTCTACAGTTTTCAAAGACGTGAAAAGTTTCTAAAACAAGACACTAGTACAGGACTATGCTGGATCCACAACTGTTGCTTTATTAAGTGGAGCCTCAAGTTCCTGATTGCCAGTATGACCGTCACTTTAAGAACTATTCACTTCAGTGCAGCCTGACAGCCAGTTTCTGAAGACAGCTGTAATTTCTCACTTCCAGAATAACATTCCTTTCCTTATACATTCCCAGCATCCCCAGTTCAACAATGCCTTTACTGGTTTAGGAAGAGAATTATGAGCATCAGCTTGAAGTCTTGGCTCCCTAAAGCAACTTCTCTAGAACTAAACTTGTCAGCTATTTCACAGAAAGGAGGACCGGCAACCACCACTTCAAGACAGTCTCTAGTCTGTTCAACAGCAGCTCTGAAGCGCTCAAAATCACCAGCTTCTGCTAACACAGAGACTACACTTTCTTATTAGCTAATAATCCTGAAGATGGGCATCATCCTGGAAATGAACAGGACTGGAGGAATTAAAGGGCTCAGTAGAAAAGTAGTATCTATTGTATTATAAAAGTTGTTACAGCTACTTCAAAGCAGTTTTGATACACTTTCTCCTTCCATGTAAGCGCTTATGTTGCAAACACTTCAAGCTAGATGAGAACCTAGCTGGCTTGTTTTGCAAACCCACAGATGACTGCACAGGTACAAGTAAGGCATTAAGCAGCTAGCAAAAGGCAGAGAACATGAGAGTTTCTTTCTACAAGCATAAGCTTTTTTTGAGATTATGGACATACAAGCCTGGCATATCAACTACTGGGTGCAAAAATTCCTGATTTTTTTCTTCTTCCCGCCCCCCCCATTGAACAGTTTCAGGAATATAGGTCTTCTGTTCTGCTCATGTATAGAAGACTAAACACAGGTTTAAGACTTCAGTGGGAGGTGTCCTTCCCACCCAGCAGCATGCATTCTAACTTGTGGTAGAATGTTTGAGGGCCTATTTTTTGCTCTGAAATAATGAAATAAAATATTTACTGTTATTCAGTTATTTGCAACACTTTCATATTCTTACCTTGCAGACGACAAGAAACACAGTGTATAAAAACATGAGGTTGTGTCTTGCCATTGGCAAGTACTGGCTGTGTTGCAGGGTGAAAAGGATCGCTCCTATCAAAGTTACCTTCACAGGGCTGGAAATCAAACAAACAATGTTAATTTCTCTTCTCTACTCCACAGTGAAAGCTGTCATGGCCTGTAAAGCAATAAAAGTTCCTGGTGTGCAAAATAATTATTTCTGAAAAGAACTAATAAAAACTTGTGATAACAGTGACAAGGTCCAAAACCTAGCTACAATTAAAGTAAGACTTTAACTTTATATACTATTACTATGCTTTCTGTCCATAATACGGACAAGCATCAAGTTCAGCACAGACGCAGCAAACTCATATTTAACAAATCCTCCTCAAATCAATGCTCCTATTCAGACAATATATATCAGCTTGCTCCCCTTCTTCCTCTCCCAATATATCTTACTGAAAAGTTTAAACACAAAGCTTGCACTACTTGGACTAGACTTAAAAACAGGTTCTTCTCCTATACTCCAGGTGTTAGTTACTACAAGGAGTTGCTTAAGGTGTTGGTTAAGGTGTTCTTTAAGACTCAGCCCACTGTGACACTCTAGCAGTTCTAGTGTTGTAGTCAGCTTATACTTGACTTGAGCCGGGCCTATGTTACCAGGGTTTGCCAACATAGCTGTTGTTGACTTGAGACATGCAAAGATTTAAATCTTCTAGCTGTCTCCGTTGTGGTGGTAAATTCCTTGCTAGGTATGCAGTCAGAAAACAAGAGAACTTTGGTCAGTTATCTAAAGTTGTCTGAAGAGAGAGCACCAATATACTGGCAGAAAAATTCTGTGCGTTCTTAATCTGCATCTACATGTGACACGTACAGGTGACATTCCTGTTATCACAGAGCATCTAGCACAGACACATTCTTCATTGTCTTTTCAGTAACTCAAGAGATTTACTGTATCAATTGCCTGCTCAGGAATTCCAAAAAAACAACTCTGTATATACAAATATCTCATCCATTTGCAGAATGTTTTATCTGTTTAACTTTTTAACTTACTTCTATTTAATTATCTTGAGCTTTATATATTAAACAAAGTTTTAAAAATCTTTTTTGAGTTACTCGGAGCCACATCCACCAGGGAGAAGGAGAATACATGCAAGCACTGCCACAATCAGTAAGCTTTGCTCTAGCGTTGCACCTGTAAGTACAGTGTTATTTGGGTTTATAGTGTTATTATTGACAGTAACCTCTTCCTTCTGGAAGTTTGCTTTGATGACTGCCACTTAGGCATTGACAGAGGGAGAGAAATTCTAAACACCTGGAATTTCAGAAAAAGCCAACAACTAACATAAGCCGCCAACAACTAACATAAGCTATAAAAGTTGAAATATTGCCAAAGGAAAGGCTACAAATTTCTCTTCTGTTATTCTGTTGCTAAGTGGTTGCAGAAAAGCAAGGTAACTTAAAAAAAAAAAAAAATATTTCTAGAGACCTGAGAGCAACATGGGAAAGAAATTTTAGGAAATTACTACAGTGAGCTTATCTTGACTTATATAATAATATCTTGTGGCTTTGTAGCCTGTCTCAGTTCTCATTTTACTGTACAGACTAAACCAGGAACCATGTAATATTCCCATTCTTTGCTTCTGCAAGAGAAGTAACATTTCCTATCTTGCAGTGTATTTTTGCTATATTGAATAACCAATTAGCATCTTGTCAAATAATTGATCTCTATGGAGGAAAACAGTACTGTAAGACAAAGTAAGAGTAACAATCCTCAAAGGAAGCCATCTTGTGATGCTCAGAACATATACAAGTGAAGTCTGCATTTTTGATGTATTTCTGGTACCACTGTCCTTTCATTTTGGATAGAAGACCATGTCCCTGTAAGATAAATTGAGTCAATACTGCTTTCTACCAAATAATTTTTGTTGCCTCATTTTCCCATTTGGTGTTCTTGTGCTGTGAACCTAAAATGATTAAAACATCTGCTAAAATTACCAAAGATCATCAACCAATCTTTCACAAGATACAGACCAAAACACTGAGTACAAACATGTCCTACCGCTTTTTTTTTTTAAAAATCTGAACCACTAAAAGTGAGTGTCAACACAAAAGCGTTAGCAAAATAACAGTTAACATGTTGCAGTCTTTTTTAAAAAAAAAACTTACTAGGACATCTTCAGTAGTTCATTGGTTTCAGGTTTCCACACTCCTCTCACCAGCTGCTCAAAGTTGGAAATTAGACCACCACCAGCTCCTGAAATTGCAGAGATTTACAATAAGCCTCCACTGACTGCTACCACTACTGCGCAACCTATTATTGCTCCCAGCAAAACTCATTACACCAGGTGCCAAATGTGGCACCCAAAGCTCAGACTTAAAGAGACTAATCCAATCTTTTATACGTGGATGACTTGAGTGACCGACGTGAAACCTCAGAGGCCCAGCTACTTAGCAAGAACCTCAGGTTTAGCTTTATGTGATAGCATCTGAACTGATGTGCCCATTACTACAAACAAATGCCAAAGTTAATCTCCAGAGAGGCTTATATCATTCCATTCTTCATGTCATCATGTAAGTACAGAGAGCGCCTCTATAAACTACAAGGGCCCTCTGCGAGAAAAGTGGGCATGTGTTTTTACATTAAAAGAATACACGACATAAGGAGGTGTTAGACACTGTGGCCAATGAGGCTTATCTGTATTATAATCTGGGAAAACAACATATTAGAACATAACATTAACACATGTTGTTTCCCAAAGCAAAACAGAATCAAGCAAATAGAAACAAGAGCTGCACTACTACTTCCTGAAGTGGTTCTAATGCTGTGACTATAAATACAACTGCTAGGAAAGTAGCCTCCAGAGTTGTACTCCAAACAGCAGGCAGACAGGCAAGAAGGCTCATTCCCGTGTTTAAAATCAGCAAATTATTATAACCCAAAAAGCTAAGAAAGCAAGTTCTCTTCTTCAGCCACATGCAAGGAAAACAGCTCTGAGGAAATATGCTGTTGGGAAGTTTAGTAGCGGCAGCGAAGCCATGCAGGAGATCTATTTCTTTATTGCCATCAACTGCCCATCCTACGTGTCCTTACAAGACCTTCCAAAGGGATAAGATGAACTCCCCTCAAAGTCATTCAATGTCACCCTTAATCCAGGCAGAAAAACTGCTGCACAGGCTTTTCCCTTGAGGGGATAACAGACTGTATTAGGACTATCATATCCAGCACAGCAAGGAATGGTGCTACAGTTATGCTGAAGGGCTAGCCATTTAAATACCACTCCAAAACATCACAATCCATCAGAACAAGATATTATGCATGTTACCTCTGGCCCAGCCCACAGCTACCATGACAAGCCAGGCGTCCCTGAAGTGACTGTCTGCATGTGCAACGCCAGCTGTTATCTTCCAAGTCCTCGTCACTTCTTTCATTCCTGCAACCAGAAGCCGAACAGGCAGAAAGGCAAAACATCGGTAGAATATGTCTTGTGGGCAGTAAAACACAAGATACCTGAAAATCATGAGAAAATCCATTAGCAGCATTCAAAAGTTTTCGCTAAGGAATACGCTTTCTAATAACCTTTAAAGATATTTTTGGAATATGACTAGCAATGCATGATACACTACTGATAGCTCATTAGTTTGTGTGGTAGACATATTAGAAGAAATTTGAAACGCTTTTGAGCATGGTTGAGCTCTTGCACCAAAAATCATCATACATCATTTGAAATTGTTCTTACTGCCTCATTGTCCCAAAGAAGAATCCATTAAAGTACATGAGAAACAGCTTTAAATTTTACCAGCTGTTCTACAGCTTAGGTATCATGTTTTTATAATTCAAATTACTAAATTAGTGTCTGACTGACTTTGTGTGGTTTGGGTTTTTATGGGGTTTTTTTTGGTTGGTTGGGTTTGGGTTGGGTTTACAACAGGATAGTAAATTACATGCTGACACCATGCTTTCATACTGATAGGTACATGGATTTATATAACTTCAGCACAAATGCCTCCACCAGTTAGTGTCATGCCAGATGAAATGCACAGCTATTTTCAAACACATTTCACATCTTAGTAACCACCAATTCGAGCTTTTCCAGCTTACCAATTACAAGCACATTTCTTTTTTCTAAGTGATGAAAGCACACTACTCAAAATTTAGTATCTTCTATCAACTTGCTTTTAAAACAAAGTAAAGATGGCTAACAATGAAATCCTAACCTGCCAGTAAATTTTAAAAGATTAGATTATGTGGTGCTTTATTGTATCTCTTCAATCATAAACAAAATTCAGTTCTTACAGAGACATTCAAGGTCTCAGAAAAAAAAATAGAGATTAATCAAGATTCTAGATTATTTCAGCACAGGAAGAAGAGAGTAACAATTAAGTAAAAGCAGAGATAACCTTTAAAAGATAGGAAGGATACATCTCCATTTTTAAAAAAAAAGTACTTGCCTGTTGGTTTAGGCTTCTGAGCTCAGTCCTGTCTACCAAGAATTTCTAAGGCTGTATCCTTCTCCTGTTTACTCAGGCTGCAATGCGGAGATGCATCTCTCATATCTAGTTTACTTCATTAGAACTATTAGTAGACACCACATCTAGGAAGACTCATGCTTCATGGGTAGAGATTAGAAATCAGGACAGCACTTGGGGCTTGGGGTTGGGTTTTTTTTAGAAAGAAAATTGCTCACCCTTTACAGCAGAATGCCAGGAAGCTTCCTCCCCAGAAATGCAAAGTTTAGCTGATATCCTGCCCTAGGTACATATTTTCTTTTTCAGCAATGGGTATAGTGCCTTGCCACTGAAAAGTTCTGAAGCTGCGTCTCTTCAAGACCTCCCAGAGGGGAGCATGCAATAGCCTATTTCTCACATACAAGTCAGTCATTGGAATTTACATTAATAGCTAACTACTGCTCTGCTGTTCAGTTTCAGCTTTACTTTTGAAGTCCTGACACTCTTCCTTTTTCTGCTATTGTAAAGTCAATTGCCTTTGTATGCAACCAAGCTTTGGTTGATATGAAGTCAAAGATGTACAGAAAGCATGTATTTTAATGGCTACTGCAAACAGCCATTTAAGCTATGTACCCAACAGACAACACTCACCAGAATGAATTTACAGCTGCAGAATGTGGGTTTAAGACCCTGAAGCCACGGGTAACTGCACTGAACCTAGCACTGCAGTCCCACCACGGCGTTTTTGCCTGCAATTTCTGCTAGCAACACGTGGTAACAGTAGATGTCGCTGTCCTACAGGTTATTTAGGAACATTTCCCAAGCGTGGCACAACCCCTTGTCCAGATGGCTCGGGGAATTTTGCTTGGCATGATTTGGGACCGAGAATTAGTCTTTGTACTCCGGAAGAGAGAACTTTGTAACACCAGAAGCTTAAGAGGTTTCATAACATTCATAGCTCCTCATTAAAACCTCATTTTATTTGTGCACAGCAAATCACATTTGACCATGTTTGACCAACAGCAACCATGTCCTGTTCATGTGCGCTCCTAACTCGTGTCATTTGTTAAAACAAGCAGTCCTTGTTGCCCACATCGGGCTAATACGAACCATAAGATTCTAGAAGCTTTGTTAATACTACACTATTGCACATTACTAATTTCACCAATTTGCCTAAATGAAATCTTCATCTTCTATTGCCAACATGATGACCAAAAGACTAATACAGAGATATACACGGACAGATAGAAACACTTATTTTCATCTTAATTAATTTATAATTAGAAAACCTAAGAGGCTATGAGGAACAGATACTAAAGGATTTCAAGCAGATAACACTCTTCTAAGATAGGAATTGAGATTTTTTTAAATTAAAAAAACTACTGCTGCTCACAAATTTTGTTAAGTTTGAGGGTTTCTTCAAAGATCACTTTCTGGAACAAATGAACTCCACTGGAAGGCCACATTTGTATGAAAATAACTCCGGTGCTTTTTTTGAGTTCCAAAACAGGCCAAATTGCTGCCTCACTCACTTTCCATTCAGTTCTCTACTGTCTTCCACTAAAACACCCATCCATTTGGGAAAGGGCAAAATATAGAAAAATAATGATGTCAGGAAGGAGAAACTAGTGGAGAGGAAAGATCTGTGTCTTAGATCCCCAATTACAGAAAAGTTCAAAATTTTTACATCAGCCAGGTTCTCATCTTCAAGAGTTACTGCTGAAAAAACAGACTGCGTTTATGACTTAGCTATACCCAGAAAAGCAGTAACTGAATTCCACTTTCTTCCAAAACAATGTTTTCAGCTGTTTGACCAGGAATACTATAACAATCTAAGACAAGTCTAGTCTAGAGACTGAACATTTTGTTATACAACAGCCCGTAAGAGTTGCTCTCTTACAAGCATTTTATTCCTACAGAACAGGATCGTAACAGCTATTTTGCTGCAGTGACTTTCTGGATGAAGAGACAGCATCCAGACCCGTAACATTTTTCAGTTAAGCTTCTGATTTACATGGAAGCTTGATGGTATAGTATCAGTTTACAAAGTATAGCTTCCTCAGAACCAATACTACTCATCTAACTCAATTGTGGCTGCTTACCAGACTGAAGACGCCAGTAGAATATTTGTGCCCTTTGCCAGAAATGCTATTGGAGGTTCTGCAAGCATCAATGAAGACAAAACTGAACCACCAAAGCAATTAAGCATAGCACTAAACCAGCAGGCAACTGGACTTCGGACTGACACTTCCACAGCTCCTGAAACACAGGGGGAAAGATGCATAAATAGAAATAAACATTTGAGAACAGCATCATGTTTTAAAAGTCAGTATTTTTCAAATAAGACAGTCCAACATTGTTCCTTTAGGTAACGAAAAATCCTGCATAAATCTGTAGGCTTTCACAAGAAAAGTCTTCAGAAATACAAACTTCAGAATACACTGACTTAAGCATGTGCTACCTAAATAAAAGTGGAAGACTGACATCGTGTTCTCTGAACACCTTTTGTGGGTTGGTTTATTATAACTATTTGGCTACCAAAAAGAAAAAGCTTTCAGAGCATGGCTGAGAGGTCTCATTGTTAATAATCTGGCATAGAATACACAGTGCTTTCAAATTTGTATTAAAATACACAACTGGCTTTGCTGACCTAGACAGGACTGGTACTCGTAACTTTTGGGGGCTTATTCTATAGATTTCATTTCTGCTTTTGAGTGTTCATGAACTCAGGGTCACTGTTTTCCTTTCTCCTCATAACACCCTGCTAACTGTGGTGACCAAAACGAAAGCAGTATCCAAAACAATCATTTAATAGTTTCACCTGAAAACCTGAACAGAGAAAAAAAGGTTACCTGAAGCCATAATAATAAATGTAAGTTTCCCTTGTTATTAAAAGGTTCACAGTTTCATTTATTTTGTTATCTTTAAAATGAATTATCCCTTTTAAATTGCAATTGAACTATGCCAGAAGAGTATTCAATATTAAAAGATTACACTGAAGGTAATGGGAAGCCTTAACCAGTTTCAGGGAGAAACAACACTTTATCAGAGCCAGAAATATCCTGAAGTATTATTTTGACTATTTCCTTCCACTTCAAAAGTCCAATGTTGTCAAAGCTTCCCCTTTACAGCGCTCTGTGTGCCAGAACTAGTTTCATTTTCCACAGTCCAAAGGCTGAAGTTCACAAAAGCAGAGATGAAACCTAGTGTCTGCCCCAAAATGAAATCTGACATATGTTACCAATTCAGAAGAGAAGTTTTTGGGTTTTCAGGCATTTCTGTGGGAAAAGAAGCTTCTTACCCAAGATGAGAAGCTCAATCATATCAAAGAGAATACAGAACTCTCAATACAATTCACTTCATACAAGAGTATTAACAAGATCATTCTGGTTTTAGTGCTGGCACAGATATCACACACTGCAGCACTATCTAAATTCCTACGTAACAGCCAATTTATAAAAATGAGCATTCCTAACTATTACAGAATATCTGAATATAAAGTAACATCTCTTTTATTTTTTTAACTATTGTGTAAGTGATTTTCCATACTGCAGTACCTGGTGCTCCAAGTCGGTTATGCTCAGCTTTGTTATTGCATATTACCACTTTGCCAAAGTAGCTATCAATTAGGTTCATGTGCATAAACTTAACAGGACAAAATTCTAAAGCCTGCTCATGTTACTGAACAGTAAAAGTAAAAATGTAAGTGGGCCATTACATCCAGATCCCATAACTGAATGTGGACCTATTTTCACCAACATATTTTAAAAGGGTAAGACACTTGCAGAATATTAATGATTTGTGCTTACTACATTGAGGTTTCATCAATTAAAAAAAAAAAACAAACCTAAAAATGCTGGCACCCATTGCATTCAGAAAAAAATGCAAAATTATGTTAAGTAGACAGTCACTGGTCCAAAAGAACTACAGTACCTTCCTTCCCAGATGTAATTATTCTCGTTTGATGACACAGCCGCATTGCAAGTACTACTATATACCTACTTTAGCATGAGAGGACTGAATTCCTTTTCTTGCAACAAGAGAATATCCTACCCCCATGTTCAGCAGTACTCTTTTGAGTAACCCCACTAAATGATACTGTGGCATTATAGCACAAAGTGACCACATAGAGAAGAAACATCCCAAACTTTACATGACCGTGAGAAAACTCAGCTAACAGAGGAAACCAGTGTATACCACAAATCACAAGGGAACATGTGCTGGAACTGGGGAGTACTGCTAATAGGTCAGCTCTTGCGTTACACACAAGCTTTAACATGGACAGATGTCATACAGGATGTAATCTGCACAGTAATCTGGTCTTAGAGAGAGACCAGTAACTAGATCATGACAGGAGGTTCCACATCCAAGAACTGTCAACCTCCAGATCAGGTTTTAAAAAAAAAAATCTTAACGCTTCAGACATCCATTATCAGGTGGGTGTGCACCAACCTCTCTTTCATAAGCCTGAAGCTTCTCACCTTGCATTAGCAGAGAAGTAATCATCTTAACATCTTACTGGCGGCCTTCATCAGAATATCAAACTACCTCCTCCCTCCCCATAAAAAGCAGCATGACTGAGAGCTAGCTAACTGAAACTCAGCTGCTTCGTCACTTCACCAGGTGTTCGGTCAGATTACTAACATAACAAAAGGAAACCATTCCAGCTGCTGTGTCTTTGAATTTAATATAGTGTATTTTACTTTTTCACGCACATGGACATTGACTGCAATTAATGAAACACAGCTGGTAACAAACAGTTTTAAGGAAAAATGGACGATTCTCATGTATCACGTTTGAAAAGGTTTAAATTGATTTCTGTTGTACATTTGACATAATTTCTAGTTCAGCTTGCCTTCTCCCCTATGTGCTTTGTGCAAATATTTTCATTATTCTTTACTTCCTATACTGAAGGCCAGATTAAAAAAAACCCCAACAAACCTTTAAAAAAATAAAATTCAATTAAATGCTGGCATTGTTTTAAAATTAGTAAATTAGTTAGCTATCTGTTCTCTTTTCGAATCCATCCCCGTGCCTTTCAGCAATCACCCCTTCTCCACTCTTTCTTTCCCCCTATGACTGGCAACAAGTGGTTTCCAGTTTTGAGGACACATATAGGAATTATTATTATTACCAGATTGCCTTTTATGAGCAAGCTCCCCACAAAGCATGTAAATTTCTTCATTAAGCTATTACAATGTAAAAGCACAAGAGTCTGGAAAGTCTACTGAACTTCAAGATTTTTCTGTTGGTCAACGTTAGAATTTTCTTGGCTCAAACAGTATTTAACAATTCATACCTGCTTTCTAACAAGGAATATATCCAACACAGAAGGCAATAAGGAAAAAAATTATGATAATAATTTAATGGTCATCTTAGCATTGCTACCTGAATTATGACTGCGATGCAACCTTTCAGACCACAAACTCAGTTTTAAGTGGGTCACATATTTTTAAACAAGTGGTCATTTATATTTGTCCTCTGATGCATCCTGCTAATGAGACATACAAACATGCAAAATACGATCTGCCAGAAGGCCACTAGTCCTGCTAATGGCATACTTTAGAAAGTGAAGATAAGGTTTCAAAATACAAGGACTATTCTTGAATAGTTTTAAATGCTATTTCTAGACAATAGTACTAAAAAAAAACCCTTGCCAGCAAACTGCTACTAAGATCTGCTTTAACCTTTCCAACATGTTCCAAATAGGCAATCAGGAATACATGCCATATACACATCTAAAGAGCAAAGCAGAAGGACTTGTACAAATTTTTCTAGTACCCTTATTCAGCTACATACAATAATATCAATTAAGCTAAAGGATTCATAAGAGTCAGATTTAATTTAGCAAAACTATGTGAAAAAAGATTAGTTCTCTTCAAATCACCAGAACCATGTCATAGAAAACTTGCAAGAACAAAACCAGCACATTCCTTCCAAATACAACACATCCTTAACCCTCAATACCTTTTGCTGTCCCTCCAGCCCCAAAAAAGAAAATTTCCAGCTCTACAACTGACTGGAGTTACAAATGAGCAACTCCTAAGCAATCCCAAATGCACTAACCAAGAGGTCTTAGTTTAAAACACGTGGAAAGCAACATGTTGGTTGTCACCTGCTGTAGTTTGCCAGCACTCACAAGTGAGCAAGAAAATCTAGCCAGAAGGACTGGAAAAGTCCCAGTTAGCGTGCATCCACCCATGATACAAATGCCCACACTGAATCTGGTTTTTAGTGGAGGGGAGGGGGAGCATGGTATTTTAATGAGACAGTAATCTGGGATAAAACAAACGTGGCTCTGACTTTACGACATATGCTTGTATCACCAGCCACTTAAGGTTACCCAGTTATTCCCCTATGAAATACAGCTAGTGTCTCAAGTTTCCAGAAAGAACAGAGAGTAATGCCTAGAGAATATTAATCTATGATAATATATCCATCCTGAGTATTTCATAATGACTGCTATTTCAGTTATGATTTAATATGCAGTTCAAACTGCTTGCAAGTGAGCAACAGACCAGCATGCAGTCACCTGAATTACAGTTATTAATTCAAAGCATTAGAGGATACTCAAGAGTTCTGAACTTTCCAGCTACTGTCCAGAAGTGCTGTCTCACTAAAGATATGCTGATGCTAGCAAAGTGGAAAGACTCCTCTCATCCTGGTCTTTTAAGTGTGTCCATTCCAGAGGGAAGTTTAAATGTAGTGCATGATAACGTCAAATACCTTCAGAGAGGAAGCCCCTTTTTGAAAGGAACAGTCAATATTACACAATGCCGCAAGTCAGCACCCAGAAACAATTTTAGCAGTAGTAACAAAATTTGGTGAAGACACTAGCATGCGTAAG